GCGGGGCAGGGTGCGTGGGGCGCAGTGAGCCGGGCGCCCTGGGCCTGGGGACCCTCCTGTCGGGGCGCGAGAAGAGGCGCCCCGTCTCCCCTAGTGGTCTCCCGCCACAGCTCTGGGAAGGGCCCCAGTGCTCACTGCACCTGCCGCACCGGCCCCCCTCTCCCGCGCCCGGCACCCCTCCAGACATGGGCAGCAGTGCCCCAGGCCGGCTCCCTGGCCAGTCTGAGCCCTGCGGCTGGGCCCCATGGGCAGGAGCCTCCAGGGCCCTGGCCCTGCTGTCCCTGTCCCCGGGCAAGGCCTGGCAGGACACTCGCCACAGGGCCCACTGCCGGTGTCTGTCCCTTTGTGACCCTGCTGCTGCCTGGGGTGCCCAGGTGACCCCACCACGTCCTTTTCCCTCCAGCCTGGGCCCTTCTGGGAGAGGTCAGGGTCCTGGCCCGTCCCAGACAGGCCCTGGACAGCCAGGAGTAGTCCAGAGGGGCCGGGAGCCGCCTGGGGGAGCTGGCTGGCCTGGCCTGGCCGCCGACCTGCCGTCCTGCGTGAGGAGCTGGCAGGCGGGTGCAGAGGGCAGGGGCATGGCCTGCCGCTGAGCCTGGCCCGGGCAGCCCCGGCCTCTCCCCCGCGGGCTCGCTGGCGCTGGGTGCAGCCGGTGGCCCCATCAGCTGAGCAGTAGAGTGGCTGGGTCCCCACAACCCCCCCAAGGGAAGCGTCTCAGACCCGAGGTGGTTTGGGGCAGGGTCTCCGCAGACTTGGGAGGGGGAGGGGTGGCCAGTTCAGCTTCAGCCACAGCAGGAGGCTCCCTGGCTCCAGGCAGTGGCCAGGGGAGGGCAGCGCTGGCGGCCTCAGGGCGAGGAGTCCGCGGCTCAGGCGGTCCGGGACACGCGCAGGCTGGTCACCTCTGGCAGCACCCGGCACCGTGTCCGGGGCTGCGTGTGCGCCCCACAGCCTCGCCCCACCAGCCAGAGCTTGGCCTGAATGGGCCGGGGGCCCGCGCCCCGGCACCCCTAGGTCCAGCCTCGCTGCAGCCAGTCCGCACCTGCAGGCCCCCGCCACAGCCACCGCAGGAACAGCCGGGGCCCGCGTGGCGGGATACTGGTCCCCCCCACGGGGCCCCCCTGAGGTGGGGGAGGCTTGGAGCAGGGCCGCTGGG